TATTTCAATTATGGTAAAAAAAAGATTTAGGATATAAAACAACTCCAGTGCTAAAGGAATACATACGGAGTGTTCAAAAGTTTGAATTACCATCTTTAAAGTAAGGTCCAAAGTTGCGTGATTCAAAGTTGCAGTGAGTAAAAGTTTTACACTATTAGACGAGCGAATCAACAGTGGAGTTTGTTGTATATGATGCATTACCTCTTAACCGCCTCAGAAGAAAAAGGCACGAGGGCGAAAGTACGGCCTTGCGTAATAGTAAGAGACTTCAGAGCCTAAAGCTCTAAGGCACTTCATCCGGGGGATCAGCCAGGGGAAAGAACTGATACTTCGTTTTCTTTGGAAAATATTGCCCATTCTGGTTCGAACGGCTACAGTAATCAAGAACATTACTATTCAGTTTGCACAACGCTTTGCCGTAGAATGAGATATAAACGAGGCGTATTCTTTGATCGATACCGACAAACCGTGCGGCTTCAATATTGCCGAAGGCTTAAATAACTTAATTTACACTATATGCCATGTCTCCCTTTATCTTGCACAACGTAAAATTGTCGTTGCTTAGTAAGCAGAGTTTAATTTAGAGTAAGTTGTGATTTTCTCTAAGACTCTACTTAAAATGTTGCACATATGTAGAACTGAGGTCGGTTATTTTCATTACTTTTATATATATAGCGAGCTTTAAGCACAAGGATCAATGAACTAATGTTGATCTCTCTTTGTTAAGCACGATAGGTAAGCCCATATTTATCTTGATCCAAAAACGCGTTAGAAAATGGAAGAGGGTTTAAAAGATGGTACAAATGATTCTCTCAAATCATATGTGCCGGGTATCTTCGCATTGCAAGACGCTAATTATAACTTTAGGTTTTACAATTTTTCGTAACGCTGAAAGGACTAAGCGAAGATAATTAGGTACTTAACCAACGTTATAGATATATATATGTATATAGTGCTTCACATTGTACACAACTGAATATCTTAAAAAACGTGAGAGAGACATTATCCACTACGCTCGGTTATATTTTCAGATAGCGATTCAAATGATTATTCCCATTTACGTCCCATATTAGTACACTTGTAAAAATTTTCAATATCCGCAAAAGACTCCTTGGGGACTCTAAAACGTTTAGCAATATTCTACAGTTTTTTGTTGAAACTATACTGTAATGAACTTTAATATAAGTTTAATTAATACAACTTTTATAATCAATATTTGGTTGCCTTTGAGATGCCAACATAGTAAACGGGGTAAAACTAAATCATTGCATCACTCATTGTTTGCAAACAAAACGACCCGTTATTTTCTAATATTTTATCAGCTAAGTGTGGGCCACTGTTTGGGATGAAATCAATCTGTGAGTATCATGAAGTGTTGGGCCGTCTAATTATTTCCACCATCTGGTATGACACGTTTTCTATGTAACTCTTAGTGAATGCGGGTTTTCATTCGAGAGTCATTATTGAAAAAAATATTTCCTTCATCGTTGGCGTGCTACCCTCTAGACTAGGCAGTATGGTTGGTCTAGATATACTAAAGTTGTATTTAAAATCTGCATAAAGGCGCTTGAATACAGCGATCTTTTCTACGTCATTTTTTGAGCTAGCGCCATAGCAACACACACGTCTACAATAATCTTATCTACCTAGTTATAACTTTGCAATCAATCTGTATGGCGAGTCTACACAGTATAGAAACGTTCTTACGAACATGCAAGCATTCCCCTCTTCTGGAGCCATGGGGCCTATTATAAAGTCCCATTAAAAGATAAGCTTGTAGGTATGACGTTATGGAACGAATCAGGATAAATGAGAGCTCTTACAAGAACCCGGTTCCAATATATGACAAGCATTAAAATATGCATTTTAGATAGAACAGATTTGAATTCTGATTTGTGGCACGTCTGACATGCTCGGGGCAGATATGGCTTGCTGACAGAACGCTGGTTAAGGCGAGGAAAGCTCTAGGTAGAACACGATCTGGTTCTTTAGATGATGGAGGGAGGGCATTGGAAATGGACTTTTGGAAACTGTAACGAGAACAAAGAAGATGGAGACAAAGGTGGTGAAGGACAAAGCTGTACACGTTACGGAAGAGCTGAAGGTTTGCTTTAAGGAAGGATTAACTAGTTAGACTGAAGCCGCCCAGGGAGAACGCACCATCAGATCCATAAGGTCTTCAGAAATTAACCTGGCACCTAGGAAATTGAGGACGTCGGGAGCGATTGGTTAACCTAGGCTTTTTTGACTTCAACATTTTCAATAGATTACGCAGCTAGTTGTCTATCGTCTGCTGTGTTTTCTCAATCGGGCTTTCTGCAAATCGCTCTAGAATGTCACCGAAGCCTGCTAGTAGCTCGATGAGTTGGCCACTTGGCAGTGTGGCCTTATAAATACTATGACCTATCTAATTTAAGACGCTACCAAGTATCAGCTGCACTTATGAACTAATTCGACTGATATGACCCTGGACGTGCTGATTTACTGGGTCGAGAGAAATAAAGTATGTTTCGGACGAGCTGTAAGTTCTCTCTGCACTCTATGCAGTAGCGATTTCAATGATTCCTGCAAATGCTGGAACGGCATCAAACGATACGTGAACGCCTAACCCTATCTTCACTTCACCGGCTAGCGTATTGCTCATAACAGTATGTATGTCTGAAGTCCTAAATGAAAGCGCGGTTGGGTGTATACGAAAATTGTGACCAGTCACAAGCTTATCACGTGCAAACCTTGATGTGCATTTAAGGGCAACCAAATCTTCCATTACCCCAATAAGATCTTCATGTTAGCCTTATAGCAGTCCACAACTGTAGGCACAGAGTCGTCCACTGACACATTTACAATTTTCGATTTGTTTGCCGACCCTATTTTCTTATTAGCACGAGCTTCACGATGCATACGCACAAGTTGGCTTTTATCCTGAGATCGATATATGGCTGAGTCGTTCCAGAGAAGTCCACCGCAATACTTTTACGCTTCAACTAATGTTACTGTGGGGCAATCGTGGGGTTGCAGTGAGCATTCACGAATGCCTTTGTTTTAAAGCCGGCGAACCGGAGAAGCCGAACTCCGGTGAGTTCAGCCTCATTTTTCTCGGTATCTTGATGGGCGGTAAACCAGAATTGACCCGTATGAATGTCGCAACATTTACTAAAAATGTAATATTAAAGATTATAGTTCAGAAGTGACATAAAGGCATGGCCAGCTTTTTTAGAGGACACGTTAGAACCACTTACAAAACTACTATTACAATTGGATTATGACCAAATATGTAAGTAGATGCGACGATTTTTTACTCTTCAACAAAGCAAATTTTGCTTCTCCAACGTTTTATACTATAGTAAATTACCTTCATTGTAATCTGCTTCAGACAAATCAATTCATTTATTTATTATTCTCATTTATATTATTAATTTGATTTTCACATAGTTTATGTCAGCTACAGAGTTTACATTCGTGCGGTAAGCTACCATTCCCTATTATAATTTAATTGCAGAAAAGCATCCGGCAACAAGCTCTGTGTCAGTTATTATTCATTAGGTTCTCTGAGACGGCGCGCAAGATCACAGCAGAGATTGCCCAAAAATCAGGCCATGGAAACAGAAAAAAACCAAAACTTTATTCAGCACTCAGCTCTTCGGCTTTGCTCTGTTCGTCGCTCTAAAATCGGTTAAACGATCTAAGTACGGCTTTGTACATTCTTTTTACCCCCATGTAGCATTTCCATTATAACAGTCGACCATCACGACAACCCACGTGCAATTACCACTCCCGTCAGCTGCAGCAGTAGCAGTAACAGTGTTAGAGTCAATCTCTGATTCATGCAGTCTCGGAATGCGAAGCGTAAAACACGTATTCGTCCGCGGTACAGGTTAGATAGGGCGGGGAACGGAACCAGATTATTAGAACTCTACACACATCTACAGCGCAACGTTCCATCAGATCGAATGCGAATTGGGGATAACCTCCGTCGAAGCTCAGAGCAACAGCAAAAATCTGTTGAAGCGTACGCCCCCTTTTTTCATAGTCATGCAGTTTTAGTTCTTTCAGGCTCTCCAAAGCCCGAAGTTCTGCTGCTACCGCCGCTGGTCATTGTCGTGGTGGGATCATTTGAAATCCATTATCGGCGTTGGCACATTGTCGTCGCTCGCTTGTCAACATGGTGGAAGCGCACCGCTGCCAGGGTCCTAACGCTGCCCCCCCTCGTTTGTCTCCTGCATGCGCACTGTTCCTCCACTACTCAAGCAGTGACAGAAGGGGGAGCACCGGAACGAATTCGCCCGTTTGCTCTCTGGCTGGCTAGCTATGGGGCAAAAGAGATAACGACACTGCCCTTTGGTACTGCTACATACATAAAGCTTAGCTTGTTAGGGCTTGCACGGCAGCCACAGCCACGGCTACTACAGGCTTTAGATACGAAAGAGGGAGTGCAATTCTGTCAGAGAGAAGTTCGGTAGGGGTAAGAAGGCACGAAAGCAGGAGGGTGAGGGAGGCATCAGCGTATGGAATTGACAGTGCTGTAAACTCACCACCGTTAAGAGTCCTGCAGACGACCCTCAGTCGAACGACGTCGGTTCAAGTCGGTTGGCATCGATGCGGGCCAAATCATTTGTCCAGTGATGCAATTGATCATTAAATAAATGATGCATACGAATGCAAGTTGATATCGCTTTCGAACAAAAACGTGCAACTAATATGAAGCATTAAGGGCCTAGCAGTATTTGTTCCATAAGTTTATCACAAGCGAAATGCCGGGTGAAGGCTGTGATTTGACAATTAAAGAAGTGAAATTTAATGAGAGAGATTTTTCTAAAGTATAATTTCGCCATTTACCCGTGTATACGTTATTTGATGACTATACGTTCAAGGGTTAATGTGCTGACCTGTCGCGGGTGGCGCTACGATCGCGAGGACAACGGATCCGAGCCCCTATGGCGGTCTTGAATTGAGCAGAGAATGTAAACAATGCGAACGACAAGACAACAGTGGTGCGCCAAGTGGGGCTGAGTTTCAGAGGTGGTTAGTGTGTGAGTTCCCGTGCGAGCTCTACGAGCTGGTCACCTCGTGTGGGGCCAGAGGTGCGAGGCGCTCCAGTGCTGGCTCAAGTTGGGGCTTCATACGAAGGAGTCCATCGCTCAACATGGACGGTTCAGGACCAGAAGCTATTCTTGCCCCAACAGCAAAACGCCAGTCGCCCCGAACCTCCGCGGCAACCGAATCACTAGCCCTCGAAGATCGCAAGAAGGACAATAGCACGCAACATCGCTACCAAGAAGTAAGTAGAACAACATATCGCCAATGAGTATTGGGCTCGTTGGTTCATTGACAAATCCGGATTCTAATATACGGATGTCGCCACACACTTGTTAATGTCGCGTGCGCTAAGTGTGCCCAGGTAGAGAAGGCAGAGGGACAGGGTAGCGTAAAAGGTGCAGTCTTCAATACTTCAGAAATGAACGCACAGAGAGGGGAGGGGGGGATGGACATATTGATAACGATAGTTAACGATGTTGTCTCCTGTCTCATGTACATTCGCAATGCTTCAGTATAGGTCTGCCTGTGCCTACTCTAGTCGAATTGATCCCACTAGGCAATCTGGCATACCCATTCCAAGTGCTGTTGTTTATCATGTTTGACGGAGTGGCGCTGTTGCTCACAGCACGCATGTGTGGAATAGGGGTGGAGGACCGTTATTTGTCCGTTCCTGGGTTTGTGATTGGTCGTCATCGTCCTTTCGGATACCGGCGCAGCACATGAATTGGGTTTCATTCGGTGTTCTACGATGCTCCTATAAGCTACAGGGGACCCTGCGTGCACTGTCGCTCGACGAATAATCATGAACACTTTACTCCGCTGCTGGCCCTCGGCTTGCTACCACAAACTAGTGCCCCGTGTTGGTTCCCCCCCAAACGGTTAGCTACGATGAATGCTGCTGTGCACGTACCTTATTAGGATTATTAACCGTAACTCGGGTTCGCAGCGTTTAGTTGCCTGCTGCCTGAACGGTGACGATGCTAGGCAGGCAGCCATCGTAGGTGCGTTCATTGACAGACTGAGCAAAAGGGTTCGCTATGAGGAACAAACAGGAGAACAGAAGCAAGTGAAACTGAATGAGAACAGGAAGAAGTTCTCATCTCATAGTTATTATTACTACCACCGGTGACGTACGTTGCCATTGTGGCATGGAATCGTTCACTTGTACGTACATACTGTGGTAGTTGGTTTGTGCTGCTCTGAATGATGTTACGGTTGACATAAACGAAACATAAAGAAATTAACTTCAGTTTAAGATCACTTGCCATAATCAAACCGTCATTTCTGCTCTTCTTCACAGTTGTCTTCTTACTGAACGATGTTTATACTATTTACTTCTAACTACAGGCTCTCGCGTCATCTGTTCGGTTCAGCTCACATTTCGTGTACAGCATTTACCTCACAGTGGACTTGTTTTTCAGATGCCCTTTAGCAAATCGAACATAGGCATACGTCAGTGGACAACTGAAGTTCCGTGTTTCGTGCATCTACTCGTGCATTTTCCACTACCCTCACCTCATCTTGCCCTGGGCTCCTGCTCAGGCCTAGTTAAACCCAGTCAAACGTCGATTTATGATTTCCGTCATATACGATGAAGTGTCAGAATCAGTAACAGAGGCTTGATATTTTTACGACTTTAATGGAGTGGCAAAAATATTCCGCACGTCGGTCCTGCTATCTTGGTTGTCGCTATTGCTATAGTTCGTGCCCCCGTTGTGTCCATGTAGGTACTCATCAATGCCGCTGTTTTATGCCTGCGATAGCACAGGCCATTTTTCGTCAGCTACTACTTTGATTTTAATCCCCAAAATGATCCTAACAAGCTCCATATAAAGAATTTGTGTCTGGTTTCAGTTTTCCTAGCATCAAGTAAACCTTCAAGAATGAATCCTAGTTCAACGTGTAATCGGTATGGACGCCATCAAATCTCGTTCGAACAAGCAGCGGCACTAGTACACGTGTGCACGGAGAAGCCAATGACAGGAAAAATGATAAACATGTCTGTTTCGCCTTTGTCTATCTACGATAGCTATGTGTAACCGTTGTGACGATATTGCACCGCTAATATTCACTTCAAAACTATAACGAGGGCGGCCGCTATGATGCTATGAAAAAAGGCATGACTTTTGTTGTTTCTAGTGCTGCTACCGGCGCGATTTATATACTGCCAAGCATATAACCTCAACCGGCACAATCACCGCGTGACACGCCCGACCTTGGATCCTGCGGTCTTTAAGGGTTCGCTTTGTAGGTAGCGCTGAATCGCTGACGTATTTAACGCTCAGTCCGCCGTCAACAGTAGCAGCAGAACAGTTCTAATCGATAGCTACTAGACTTGATGGGCACGAGTAGCTCGGTAAAGTCACAAATTGCTTGACGTAATACAGAACAGTTACTTTGGCCTTTGCGATCCCGGCTGTGGCATAAATAACGATTCAGGCGCGCCCGCAGTCGGCGTCATGAAGTCGGTGCGTATGTGCATGCTTTTCCGCTTTTCTTTTTGCCGGCCGTATTAAGATAGCATTTATTGAACGATGAAAAACGCTACGATTAGCACGGCTGCAGTAGATGCCAGCAGCAGTGGCCGCACATGGAGTCTCAATGAATACGCCGACGTTTGATTCGTTCTCGTTAGGTCGTTTGATATTTGGCTACAATAGTCTATTGACCCCCAAGACGCAGGCTGCTCACCCGTTCGCCACATATGCCCCGACATTTAGTATTTGCTCGTCTGTGACAGCAACGATAAGACAACAGAGCGAAATAGCGTCTGGAGCAACGGCAAAGACAGAACCGAGCGAGTTGGCCTCGCGAATTGGACTCGATTCTATCCACCTCGATAGGTGCAAATAAAGAGGCTGCTTGTAACACAGCGGCTAGACAAGCAGAAGGGGGCAAAATGCAGTGGAAACCAAAGCCATCTATTCCATTATTATATTATCAAAGCGTTCTATCCTCGAAAGGATGCGTATCATAGTAATAACAACATAATTAATAGCAGAAATAGCGTGTGCCTTTTTTAACTATTGATCACCGTAGTTCGTATTGTGTTATATAATGCAGAATTAGCACAACAGCTATCGTACATCTGTCTGGATTAACGCATTGCATAATGTAGCGTACGTCCACTGCCGACAGGCAAGCAAAGCTCATTTTATGTTGCTTTAGCTAGAAGCAAATTGCGTACATGTACGCTGCCAGCCGTACGATCATGGCCGCGTTCTGGCTGTCGAGCGTGACACGACGGGGGCGGTACTATGTTCCTAACGTGTTTTTCCCTCTTTGCTGACGTCTTGTGTATACACCTTCTGTAGCCTCCGGTCTTCGATTGCCGTCGCGCAGTACCGTCTTCTTCGTTTTCTTATAGAGAGTGCGCAAATGCCTGTGACAATAATAATTATAATAGTAGTAACAATGTCGAAGGGTGGGCACACGGATGTGCGTAAGTTCTTGAACTTATGGGTTATTAGCGTATTGGTCTAGTGTAATTTTTCTCCAACGTTGTGTAAACGTGATGTGAATCAGTCTGCCCTTTACGAAGCCCTTTACCCTTCACGGTTCGCGTTCCCTCGCGCTGTGTACTTATATGTACGAATACGTTTGATAATTGGTAAAGTATATATATATAAGCAAAAAAATTAGCGGAAGTAGAACGAGAGAGTGAGATTAGGATGACAGTAGAAAATAGACGTGGAAAGAAGCAGAAAGGAAACGTGAAGCGCTGTTATTAGATACGTATCTGACAATGGACTTTTTGCTTGACGAGGTGGAGTTCTCGATCTTCAAAGGTGTATCCCTGCTCTTCGACAGTCAGGTCGGTCGATCAGTCGGCCGTATCGTGGTATCTCAGTATTATGTTTAGTTACGCCCATGCAAATTACAAGGCATCCAGTTAATCAGTCGGTCAGTTAGATGGACAGAAAGCATCAAAAGCCATTGACGTACGCAAGCTTCAGGGCAACCACGAAGCGATAGCCGCTGGCTAGCAGACACATCTCCTTAATAGTACTCGTAGTAGCCGTAGTCGGACGACTACTTCAGCTATAATAATAGTAGCACCAATAGCATCTACGTAGAATCTGCGTAGATTCTACCTCTGATTCACGTCGGCCATCTCGACAGGCCGAAACACGTTTGCGCCGAGCACTTTTTCGGCTATCGTTCGTTGAGCTCTATCATGTTCTACAACGTGTGCATAATGCAACCTGCACAGGTAGACACATTGATATGCTACTCACAATATGGCTAGCACCTCGAAAGTAAAATAGCAAAAAAAAGTTAACTAACTTACCAGATTTAGTTGTCGTTTATATTGTCGCGTTGCACGGGCTATGACGGGCTTTTGACGGGCATAAAATGCGACTCAAACGTCGAAAACGGGTTTCATCAGACAAACGCCACGAGCGAGAATATCTGGTAAATAGAATGAGTTACTAGATTTAAGGATATATGAAACTCAGGCTGAACTGGTAGATAACATCACTCGTCTAAGGTAATGCGAATCCAGTTCCTTTAGTCGTCATAGACCGCATCTAACTAGGAGTTAAAATTTTTCCTCGTATAATACTAAAGTAACGCGGAGTAAAGTACGGAGAACCTTCATATACGTTAAGGTCAAATGCATTCTTGTTCGCTGCAAAGATATAAGGAATTGATACTGAAGAACGTATGTACTTGGTTAATTCGGAACCTAAGAAGATTGAAGACCGGGTTGTATTTGCGATATATTTTAAGAAGTGATTGTCTTCGTTTGCTTGTTCTTATAAAGACATTCAGTATGCTTAATTGTCGCTTTACGCAACTACGATTAAATTAGAAATTAGATAAGCTGTTGATGCCAGTCAATCCATCTGATATATATAGGGCCATTGACTTTTCGAAAACGAGCTTCCTTTTTGGGCTGGCTTTTAAAGAATAGAAGATGTGCAACGTTTGACAAATTTAATTAAACTATGTAAGTGGCGGTATGTCGTGAAATATTAGAGGAGTTTATTACAAACAGGTCATTTTCAATGATCGATTATAAAGACATTTCCTCAACGTTCTGTAAATTCACGAACTTTTTATGGATGATTTGTTTGGACCATTTTTTACCCATAGTACCCAACATTGACATTTCGAGCTTTACTGTGGTACCGAATTGAAAACTTCATTCACTGGTACTGTATGTCTGTTACCGTGTCGAGACACGTTGTTTTTATTAAGGACAACAGATGAGATTATGTGTGAACAAACCCGTCT